TTGAGTTTGGGGTGATGAATCATAAGGGGGTTCAAAAAATTTTGGGGGGGGATTTCTTTTTTTCTTTTTTTCCTTTTTTTTTTTCTTTTAAAATTTTCCATTTTAAGTTGGTTATTTCTGATTTATATTTAAAAGCAAATAATAATGATATGGTAGGAGATACACACCAAACAGGATGTGTAAATTATTATATTATAAGTATTGTGCAATAGCAAGAAATTTTCAATTGCACAGTATTGCACAATAGCAAGAAATCTTCAATTGCACAGTATTGCGCAATAGCAAGAAATCTTCAATTGCACAGTATTGCGCAATAGCAAGAAATATCCAATAGCACAATATTGCGCAATAGCAAGAAATTGTCAATTGTACAGTATTGCGCAATAGCAAGAAATAATCAATTGCACAGTATTGTGCAAAAGAAGATACTTCCTATAAATTGCTTATTTCTTGATCAATTTCAATAGGGTTTTATTCTTGAATTCTTGGGGTTCTTTAATATGCTGAATCTAACCGTGTATTAAGTTTTTGGATTTTGGGCCCCGTTTTTAAATTGGTCCACATTGAGGTCCAAAGGGTCCAAAATTTTACTTTGTTTGATTTCATCAAAAATTGAATTATTGGGGTTCTTTGATATGCCGAATCTAACCGTGTATTTAGATTCTTAATTTTTGGTTCTGTTTTCAAATTGGTCTACATAAAGGTCCAAAGAGTCCAAAATTAAACTTAGTTTGATTTCAACAAAAATTGAATATATGGGGTTCTTTGATATGCTGAATCTAACCATGTATTTAGATTTTTGATTATGGGCCCAGTTTTCGAGTTGGTCCAAATCGGGGTCCAAAATTAAACTTTGTTTGATTTCAACAAAAATTGAATATATGGGGTTCTTTGATATGCTGAATCTAACCATGTATTTAGATTTTTGATTATGGGCCCAGTTTTCAAGTTGGTCCAAATCGGGGTCCAAAATTAAACTTTGTTTGATTTCAACAAAAAATTGAATATATGGGGTTCTTTGATATGCTGAATCTAACCATGTATTTAGATTTTTGATTGTTGGGCCCCGTTATCAACTTTGTCCACATTGAGATCAAAAGGGTCCAAAATTAAACTTTGTTTGATTTCATCAAAAATTGAATATATGGGGTTCTTTGATATGCTGAATCTAACCATGTATTTAGATTTTTGATTATGGGCCCAGTTTTCAAGTTGGTCCAAATCGGGGTCCAAAATTAAACTTTGTTTGATTTCAACAAAAATTGAATATATGGGGTTCTTTGATATGCTGAATCTAACCATGTATTTAGATTTTTGATTATGGGCCCAGTTTTCAAGTTGGTCCAAATCGGGGTCCAAAATTAAACTTTGTTTGATTTCAACAAAAATTGAATATATGGGGTTCTGTAATATGCTGAATCTAACCGTGTATTAAGTTTTTGGATTTTGGGCCCCGTTTTTAAATTGGTCCACATTGAAGTCCAAAGGGTCCAAAATTTAACTTTGTTTGATTTCATCAAAAATTGAATTATTGGGGTTCTTTGATATGCCGAATCTAACCGTGTATTTAGATTCTTAATTTTTGGTTCTGTTTTCAAATTGGTCTTCATAAAGGTCCAAAGGGTCCAAAATTAAACTTAGTTTGATTTTAACAAAAATTGAATTTTTAGGGTTCTTTGATATGCTGAATCTAAACATGTATTTAGATTTTTGATTATGGGCCCAGTTTTCAAGTTGGTCCAAATCGGGGTCCAAAATTAAACTTTGTTTGATTTCAACAAAAATTGAATATATGGGGTTCTTTGATATGCTGAATCTAACCATGTATTTAGATTTTTGATTTTTGGGCCCTGTTATCATTTTTGTCCACATTGAGATCAAAAGGGTCCAAAATTAAACTTTGTTTGATTTCATCAAAAATTGAATTCTTGGGGTTCTTTGATATGCTGAATCTAACCATGTATTTAGATTTTGGATATTGGACCATAATAGGTGAATGTCCAATTTAAAATTTTTAAGTTCTTAGACCACATTCATTCTGTGTCAGAAACCTATGCTGTGTCAAATATTTAATCACAATCCAAATTCAGAGCTGTATCAAGCTTGAATGTTGTGTCCATACTTGCCCCAACTGTTCAGGGTTCGACCTCTGCGGTCGTATCAAGCTGTGCCCTGCGGAGCATTTTATTGTATTTAAGGTGACAACCATTTGACTATCAAAGAACGTAGAAGTCCGAGTGTCAAAGTACATTTTTATGCCCCACCTGCGATAGTACAGGGCATTATGTGTTTCGGTCTGTGCGTCCATTCGTTCATTCGTCAGTCCGTTTGTCCGTCTGTTCACGCTTCAGGTTAAAGTTTTTGGTCAAGGTAGTTTTTGATAAAGTAGATGTTCAATCAACTTGAAACTTAGTACACATGTTCCCTATGATATGATCTTTCCAATTTTAATGCCAAATTAGAGTTTTGACCCCAATTTCACGGTCCACTGAACATATAAAATGATAGTGCGAGTAGGGCGTCCATGTACTATGGACACATTCTTGTTTATACCTGGGATTTCGTTCTTGAGATGTTTCAACAAAATAACAACATGAACAAATCATGTCAGTTGTTGATTTAATATTGAAATTTGACAGAATTACCCCTTATACAATTTTATTTTGTCTAATTCGTCTTTCATTTTGAAAGAAGTCAATTTGCTCTTGTTCATTCATAAAATTATCGTAAAATCACTACGCACGTTATAGTAATGTTATCTAATTTCACATTATTTGGTTTAAAAGTAGCACAATTTATGCGTTCTGGTAACACTTACCATGTTTTTAATACTTCCATGAAATACAGACCCCATAATTTATTAAGAGATTCCTAAATTGCTGATTGATACTGATAGACTCCACTCTGTAAACAAATTATATAATAATCAACTGATCAAGGTTACTTCTCGAAACAGTGGCAAATGTCATAATGACCCTTTAGCAATTGGAAATGATAACCTGTAATTTTCGAGAATTGAAAGGTTTTGTGTTTTATATTCTGAAGTTTTAAAAATCATTACATTTCAATCGTTTCTGATTGTTGTAATTAAACTCAAATAATCTTTTCATTTACTTTTAAAATGTTTCGCCGTGTCTCCGGTTTTGTGTAATGAGTGATCAGCGTGTTTTCATTGGATGGTCTAAAATAGATCTTACTAGTCTTGACCATGCAGAAAATCTTCAAGCGTATTAACAATTTTAACTAGAAAAATTCTTCATTTAAAAATCCGATATGTTATGTAATTTACGCGACTATGTCAATAGAAATGAAAGGGGTAAAGCCTTAGCCAGTTCACAGGTTAATCAACAGTTAACATGCATTTCATGAAATTTCAGAGGCTGGTCCCATCCTCAAATCTTTAATCTGTTGGCACGTCATATAGTTTGTTAAAAAGATGTATTTTTTTGGGAGACGGATTTGTAAAAGTTTTTCCAAACGTGTTGTCGAATCCCATATCTGAATTATTATGTACTACTTCATTGTTATAATTTTTCATTCATAAATACTGTTTAAACTAAATCTTTAATCGGTATGTATGAATGAATGATTCTTATTCTAAAAAAAACTATAGTTCGTAGAACACTCGCGTCACGAAAGTTGAAATTATCAACTGTCAAATTTAAACCAATTATGATAATAATTGATTATAATAAAAGCAATAAAGATAATGATGGCAGGTGGTTTGTCCGATAAAGTATTGCCCAGTAATAAACACTCTACAAGGGGGTTAATCTTTTGTGATTTTTTCGGGAGTTCTACGTTTCCGCTAATATATTTGACTCCACCGTAAGCCAGGTAAACGTGTCGTCCCCATCGGAGACGTAAAACATTGTAAATAGGACTTTCTGCTGGATAAGTCTTTTATTATTTCCCTACCGACGAAGTCGAAGGGGACTTGAGGTTTGCACTCCGTCCGTCTGTCTGTCTGTCTGTCTGCCTGTCTGTCTGTCTGTCTGTGTGTCTGCCTGTCTGTCTGTTCATCCGTCAGTCCGGCAAATCAGTTTTCCACACTTTTTTTCTTCATCCTTGAAGATATTGATTTGATATTTGGTGTATTGTTTATTCATGACAAGTTACAGATCAAGTTTGAAATTTGTTCCGGTCTGACGATTTTGTGCAGAGTTATGGTCCTTGAACTTAGAAAATTCACTCAAATAATCAGTTTTCCGCACTTTTTTTTGTCATGCTCGAAGATGTTGATTTGATGTTTGGTATATAGTTTTATCATGACAAATTACAGCTCAAGTTTAGATTTTGTTCCGTTCTAATGATTTTGTGCAGAGTTATGGTCCTCTACTTAGAAAATTCACTCATATAATAAGTTTTCCTCAGTTTTTTTCATTATGCTTAAAGATATTGATTTGATAATTGGTATATAGTTTAATTGTCGAGCCTGCGACTTTTGTCGCAGAAAGCTCGACATAGGGATAGTGATCAGGCGGCGGCGGCGGCGGCGTTAGCTAACTTCTTAAAAGCTTTATATTTTAGAAGCTAGAAGACCTGGATGCTTCATACTTTGTATATAGATGCCTTATGATACGAAGTTTCCGTCTGTCATATGTCCATTGTCCTTGACCTCATTTTCATGGTTCAGTGACTACTTGAAAAAAAAGTCAACTTTTTTTGTAATGTTAATTTTTTTCTTAATATGAGTAATAGGATAACTATAATTAGTATGTGCGTACCTTGCAAGGTCCTTATGCCTGTCAGACAATTTTCATTTGACCTCGACCTCATTTCATGGATCGGTAAACAAGGTTAAGTTTTCGTGGTCAAGTCCATATATCAGATACTATAAGCAGTAGGTCTATTATATTTGGTATATTGAATGATTGTAAGGTATACATGTCCAACTGGTAGGTGTCATCTGACCTTGACCTCATTTTCATGGTTCAGTGGTCAAAGTTAAGTTTTTGAGTTTTGGTCTTTTTTTCTAATACAATATGCAATAAATAGGTCAACTATATTTGGTGTATGGAAATATTTTATGATGTACATGTCAGTCTCGTAGGTTTTATTTGACCTTGACCTCATTTTCACGATTCATTTCTCAGTGTTAAGTTTTTAAACAACCGCAAAAAAATTTTTGTGGTCGTATATTGGCATGACGTTGTTGTCGTCGTCATCGTCGTCCGAAGACACATTAGTTTTCGCACTCTAACTTAAGTTTAAGTGAATGGATCTCAATGAAGTTTTACCATAAGGTTAAATACCACTAAAGAAAGGTGGGGATTGAATTTGGGGGTTATGGTACCAACAGTTAAGGAATTAGGTGCCAAAAAGGGGCCAAAAATAAGCATTTTTGTAACTTCCAGACGTAACTTGTGTGTAAGTGTATGGATCTCTCTGACATTGTACCACAAGGTTCCATATCACAAAGGGAATGCTGGGATTGATTTTGGGGGTAATTGCCTCCAAATTTTAGGAATTAGGGGCCAAAAAGGGGCAAAAAACAAGCATTTTTCTAGTTTCATGACAATAACTTGTGTGTAAGTCTATGGATCTCTCTGACATTGTATCACATGGTTCCATATCACAAAGGGAATGCTGGGATTGATTTTGGGGGTAATTGCCTCAAAATTTTAGGAATTAGGGGCCAAAAAGGGGCAAAAAACATGCATTTTTCTAGTTTCATGACAATAACTTGTGTGTAAGTGTATGGATCTTTATGAAATTGTACTACAAGGTTCCATATCACAAAGGGAAAGCTGGAATTGAGTTTGGGGGTAATTGCCCAAAAATTTTAGGAAAAGGGGCCAAAAATGGGCCAAAAATGGGCCAAAAATATGCATTTTTCTAGTTTCCAGACAATAACTTGTGTTCAAGTGTTTGGATCTCTCTGAAGTTGTACTGCAAGGTACCATACCACAAATGGAAGGCTGGGATTGATTTTGGGGGTAATTTCCTCAAAATTTTAGTAATTAGGGGCCATAAAAGGGCAAAAAAACAAGCATTTTTCTAGTTTCAGGACAATAACTTGTGTGTAAGTGTATGGATCTTTATGAAATTGTACTGCAAGGTTCCATTTCACAAAGGGAAAGCTGGGTTTGAGTTTGGGGGTAATTGCCCTAAACGTTTAGGAATTTGGGGCCAAAATGGGGCCAAAAAACAAGCATTTTTCTTGTTTCCAGACAATAACTTGTGTTCAAGTGTATGGATCTCTCTGAAATTGTACTGCAAGGTACCATACCACAAAGGGAAGGCTGGGATTGAGTTTGGGGGTGATGAATCATAAGGGGGTTCAAAAAATTTGGGGGGGGGGATTTTTTTCCCCTTTTTTTTCTTTAAAATTTTCCATTTTAAATTGGTTATTTCTGATTTATATATAAAAGCAAATAATAATAATATGGTTTGAATAGGTAAATTAAATTTTTTTAAGTTCTTAGACCACTTTCATTCTGTGTCAGAAACCTATGCTGTGTCAAATATTTAATTACAATCCAAATTCAGTGCTGTATCAAGCTTGAATGTTGTGTCCATACTTGCCCCAACTGTTCAGGGTTCGACCTCTGCGGTCGTATCAAGCTGCGCCCCAGCGGAGCATTTTATTGTGTTTTGGTCTGTTTTTCTTCAACTATAAGCAATAGATCAACTACATTTGTTGTATGGAAGGATTGTAAGGTGTATATGTCTGTCTGGCAAGTATCATCTGACCTTGACCTCATTTTCATGGTTCATTGGTCAATGTTAAGTTTTCATGGTTAAGTTTGTTTCTTAGATACTATAAGCAATAGGTCAACTATATTTAATGCATAAATTGATTGTAAGGTGTACATGTCTGTCTGGCATGGTTCATCTGACCTTGACCTCATTTTCATGGTTCATTGGTCAATGTTAAGTTTTCTTGGTTAAGACTGTTTCTTAGAAACTATAAGCAATAGGTCAACTATGTTTGGTTTATTGAATGATTGTAAGGTGTACATGTATTTCTCGTTTGGTTTATTTGACCTTGACCTCATTTTCTTGGAGCATGTTTAGTTTATGTGTTACTTGTAGTAAAGCTTTATATTTAGGACTATCAACATAAAATCAATGGTTAGTAAAGGAGGCGAGATATTTTAGCGTGTGCACTCTTGTCATGACAAGTTACAGATCAAGTTCGAATTTTGTTCCAGATTGATGATTTTGTGCAGAGTTATGGTCCTTGGACTTTGAAAATTCACTCAAATAATCAATTTTCCACAATTTATTTTGTCATGCTTGAAGATATTGATTTGATATTTGTTATATAGTTTACACCATGACAAGTTATAGATCAAGATAGCATTTTTTTCCAGTACAATGAATTTTTGACCGGTAGGGGACTATGTATTGCCAGGCAATACTCACAGAATGCTTGTTGATGTAAAGCTGGGACTATTATACATATATATATATATATATAGTTTGTATAATAGTCCCTTTACAAAGTTAAAACAAAACACCCTTACTTCTCACTTGATAGACTCCTGTCAGGTTTAATTCTTTTACATGTGGATGAAAGATAAATGTCACAAAAACATTAAATAGGCATTAATTGCTTTAGCAGCTTGTAAGGCTTTGATTAGTATGTGAGTCTACTTTGATGAGCTACAGATCGAGTTTACGTTTGGTTCCGCTCCGCTGATTTTTGCTGAAATAACAGGCTTTGGAAATTTCCGCTCCTAAAAATAACTTCAAGCTTTTTTGCGCTTGGGGCCTTTCACTTTGTTCCGACATGTAGTTTGACTATCATGTAGTTTGACTATTTATTTTCTATTCTAGAATCAATGATGGGTTTGATATACAAAATGAGCATCTACCGTACAAAATTATTAGTATGGTATCTTTGATGGGTTTTTTTAACAAATAAAATATCCAGCAACTTTGTTGTTATAAATTCTCAAATATTGAAATTCAATACATTTTGGTAGAAATATCCAGTTTTTATGTCCATCTGTTTATCCAACTTCACTGTTTTGTAACTTTGTCCATCTGACCTTCATAAAGTTTGTCATTACAAAATTAGCCTAGTCAATTCAGCTCTAAAATCGCTCAACCTGCAATATAGAGTTGTACTAACAACATACTAAAACTAATCATTGATATAATTTGCGGAAAAGGTTATTTTGGGGTGAAATATGTGGTTTTTAGAGAAAAAATGCTGAAAACTGGAAAAGAAGAAAAATTGTTATTTATGGTTACATTTTTAGACCTAGAGCTTGTTGAAGACAGGAAACCTTATCTTAATAGAGTATTATGTAGTCCTCTAGTTATTATTATTCATATTGAAGTAATTTTGAGGTGAACTGAATGATTTTTAGTGAAAAAACGCTGAAAACTGGAAACGTAGAAAATCTCCGTTGTTAATGGTTAATATTTTTGAAATTTGATCTATATGAAGTCCTTTAGTTATCAATATTAATATTTGGGTAATTTTGGTTGAATATATGTTTTAAGACCGAAAACCCGGAAAACTGGAAATGAAAATATCTCGGTTATTGATGGTTAAAACTTTCAAATTGGGAACTTAACAGAAAATAGAGAATACTGCCTGATGTTTATCTTAAGAAGTTCTATAGTTAATAGTATTTAAAAAATTGTAATTCTTGTGTAAAATGTGATTTGTAGAGAAAAATGGTGAAAAATGGAAATAAAAAACTTGATTATTCATGGTTTAAACTTTTAACATAGGATCTTTATAGACAGACTATATTATCTTATGTTTATCGCATACGTATTCCTCTTGTTATCGATATCAATAATAATCAATTTGTTGTGTGAAATATTTTGTTTTACACACTAACTACAAAACAAGAATATATATACATAGTACACGGATGACCCACCCGCACTATCATTTTCTATGTTCAGTTGACTGTGAAATTGGGTCAAAACTCTAATTTGGCATTAAAATTAGAAAGATCATAGGGAACATTTGTACTAAGTTTCAATATGATTGGACTTCAACTTCATCAAAAAATACCTTGACTAAAAACTTTAACAAAAAACTTTAATCTGAAGCAGGACAGATGGACGAACGAACAGACGCACAGGCAGAAAAACATAATGCACCTAAGTGAGGGGCATATAAAATGAAAATTTTAAAATCTTGGTTATTTCTAGTTTGATTTTTAAAAACGAAAAAATGGAGAATGGAAACAGGGAATGTGTCAAAGAGAAAACAAGGCCACTAATGGGTCTTTAACATAACAAGTAAATCCGGCACACGGAGATGGGCTTCAGCTGACCCCTTAATTATTTTGTACACTAGCTTAGCAAAATGGACACTAGCTTAGCAAAATGGACACTACCCTAAACTCCAGTACATACAAATGAACCAAAATTATCACAAAAAAACACACACAAGACAAACAAAGGCTAGAGGTTCCTAACTTGGGATAGGTGCAATAATGTGGCAGGGGTAAATCATGTTGTGTGAGAACTCAACCCTCCCCTAGTTTCTCTAGACAATACAAAATAAACAAACACACAGTAAAACTCAGTTTTAAATATGTGCATTTTGTGGAAGTTTGAAATTTTATCTTATGTTTCGGTTATGTATTTATAGTAATTATACGTGTAGGTATAATAAACAATTATTTTCTCATTAGCTACTTTTACAATATTTGAATTGCATAAAGTCACAGTTAAACACGGACGATGTGATTGCAGATTTCTCTTAATGTGTTGCTAATTTTATTTAGCAAGTTCTATCAATATCCACGTTTAATTTCAGATATATAAGCTTTTTAAATTTAGGAACATATACTAGTTCACTGAATTAGCATTAAAAGAGGGACAAAAGATACCAGAGAGACAGTCAAACTCATAGATCGAAAACTAAATGAAGATCTGATATTGTTTAAGGCAATTGGCCCGAGAACACAGTTATTTCGTAGTGCATTTCTTTTAGACAATAAATTCAAATTAAAAAAATCGCACCTGCTCTATCTCAAAAAGATTTTTACAGTGTAGCGTACTACTATTGATACAAATAATATCAAAATTATAGAAACTTCTACCAGCTCTAACTCAAAATATTGACAATTCTGTGTTAAGGGGGGCTAAAATTCAGTTTGACAGCTTCAGACATTCTAATTTTTGACCTTTTTTAACTGGACCAAATCACTACTTAACATAAAGATTCAGCACCCACATTTTTTTAACATGTAATTTCATCCCCTTACTTAATATTTCATGCATAAAATATCAAGAAATAAATTGGGAAAGTGTATCAGAAAAAAATGCAAGTTATACACTGTTCACACTAGGGACTATATTCGTAGACAACGAAAACCAAAGGACGATAACTGTGTCCTTGGACCTAATAGGATAGAAAGACTTAACCAATTGTAATAAAACTTTGCATGACTTAAGCTTAGGATATTATAAGATAGTTGGCCAAGTTTCATGGCCATAGGATATATATTATAGAAACTAGGGTCATTTTAATATTGAAATTTGGATGTTTATTTTTGACGTTTAAATCAAATATTTTCAACTGTCAAGATTTTGGCCTAAAAAATTTAAATATTGCAAAAATTTGCTTTTTAAATACTCTTGAATATAATATAATAAGTATTAAAAGCAACGGAACACTCATTTGATTTATCAGATTTATCACAGTTATTCAAAAGTCAAATTTATATGAGCCTGTGCCTGAAAATAGAGATTTTCGAATTAAGGGAAGCCTTACATAAACATGCATTTTTTTCAACCAATTTGAAGTTTTTGAAGTTTTTTAACCTTACATTATTCTTCCATATATATTAAATGTACTTTAAATGTAAAGAAAAGTTACAAAAAGCATACCACATGAGTATAAAATGGTCTTAGGCCATGTAAGACTGAGAATTATTTAGAGTCGATTTAGGCCGTAGCCCATATTTACATATAAAAATGCACACAGAGGCTATAAGAAATGGAAATTTGTTACTTTTTGCACATTTCTATGCTAAGATGTTATGATACAAGAAGTCTAATTGCAAAAGGACTCTTGAATTCAACTTTTTTTTGCAGACAGTATGGTCTGATGACCAGTTTTTCACTTTTCAACAGAAAACTTGCATGTAGTTTTAGTCTCAATTGGCATATATTTGAACCACTTACTATCCTAAAGAAGAAAATTATGGTAGCATATGAAAAGAATAGGGTGTACTGATCATTGTAAAGTGGTTTTTTTTACAGATTTAGTGAAATATTTGTGATGGACTACAGATTTTATGTACAAAGCTCTTCACATTTCACATACATCAAACAGGCCGTTTAACCAGGGACATAAATACAAATATTCTGCACATTTTTTCTGTGATAATCTACTTTTCTCTAGATTCAGAGTTCACAAATGGTTAATTAAATTTGATTTAAGCATAGAAACACAAATATCAGGAACATAA